ATTCTACGACTATGACGATATAGTCTCCCAATACACTCATCCAGGAAAGCATCAGTATTAGATACAATACTGTATAACAATAATAGAAATTACATTTTCTATTTTAAATAATTGTACACCAACACCCAATGAATATTTGACAAATCTCCAACAAATCAGCACATAAAATACCTCCAATTTTATAAAATATAAATTTTATAATGTATAAATTGTATAAAAAAAAAATATTGGGGAGGCAAATATGTTTAGTTGTAGATACTGGTTTGATCCATAACATCATTAAGTAGTCTCCACGCAAGAGAGAGGGGAGCTTACTTGACCAACTCTGTTCTTAACGGAACATCGAATAAATTTTATACCACAGCTTTTTTATTACAATAATTTAGAAAGACTCGCCGTGTGTTCCCAGCATAGAATAGGCCACCCCATCCTTTTCGGTGGGTGTCGTAAAAGTCGAATAAGGGAGAGCGAGGGATGGACAACAGCGTAGTTCTTAAAATATCTCTAAAAGGCTAACTGCGATTGTCAAACTACCAGCCAAGCGTTGCAATTACTGGCAAAACTCCTCTTACGGAGAAGGCTTATATTTCGCAGTGGGCAGTTAACGGCTGAAAAAATAATAAAAATAATAATTTAAAAAGCAAATATAAAAAAAAAATACAATGAAATTATCATGTAAACAGCATTACAAAGTAAAAAAGAATTATTACTGAGAAGAATTGAAATTGGATAATTAACAGAAGCTATTGTTCAAAAATGGAGACTTAAACGGGAAGTTCCTTAACTTTAACTCAATGTTGGAAAGACGAATTAGTAAACTAGACAACCTTCACGATTTTCAGCTAATTGATAATTCCCTTATTAAGTTCCCAAGTAGCAATCTAAAAGTTTTAATCGCGTGTCCGTCATCAGATAAATTTATTAAATGATTTGCCACAAAATTTCATTTAAAATTTATTCCATGTTTTATCGGACTGAGTGCTTATTAGCTTTACTATCTAATTTAATTCAGAATTTGTTTCGTATGGCTAATCACTTACATAATATGCGTTAACATTAAAAGATTACCCGAATTAAATTATTTTCTCTCTAACTACACTGGGTTGGCTGGAAGAGATCTCTTACAGAGATAAGTCCTCCCTTGCTAACAAGTTGTTAAACTAATCGTCGCACGTATCGTTTAAGTGCAATAAAGAATATATATAAAGATGGAGATAATAATCTCTTTTGCTAGCAATTCATTTTGCCAGATTTACATCCAAACAGTCCCATCTGGAAATTATTGTAAATAATCCTTAGATTTGCACCAAGATGAATAACTGGCTCAGGCCAGTTGAAGTTGATTGAGGATGAAGTCAGCTTCATCCTCATTATTTTTTCCTCTATTACTGTAAACCATGGACTTCATGCTTAAAAAAATTACATTCAAACATGCACATTTCTGTTTTGCACTACTACTGCCTACTTGCTACTTCCTATGCCACTGTGTGGGGGAAGGGATTGTTAGTAATGGGATCTTAACATCCCTATTGCTAGCAATACATGCTATCAGGTCGACCTCCGCGCGGTCCCCCCTGGAAACCATCGTGATTAATTCTTGTGGAGTTCATCACGATGGGCTAACTGACCTGCTTTCATTATCACCTATCATCTGAACTTATTTAGAACTTATTTATTATATTATTTATTCATTTATTCATCTAAGATTCATTTTCATAATTTCATTCATAAGAAGTATTGTACTTCTTATGAATGAAATTATGAAAATGTATGTCTACTATACATTATGTAGTGTTATAAAAAAAACAATTTCTGTACTCAACATATATGAACGTACACGATCCGGAAAGCATTGTGAGTCACTTCGATCTCTCTGTAAACACAATTTGTGGGTGTCTTCATGCGAATTTGCATGTATATTGGATCAGCGCACAGTTGACACTGATAGGAATCTAAGTGGTAGTACGCGAAGGCAGCTCTCGTGACGGCGTATGGTGATAGATCATGTTGTCATGATATCATCATTACGTGCAAAACGGTTTTTGTGTCAACACCAACCGTCTTCAATTCACACCATCATTCTTCATAAAAATTAAAGCCTCCTTAATTATTTGAGTTATTAGATCTAAGTTGATTTATAACTTATTTCTAATTGACTCTGGCAAATTAGTAACCGATTATTCTGAATTCTGAAATGTAGGATTACGCATTTTAAAATATTTTCAAATAAGTTACAGACATAGATTACTTTTATTTACTTCCATTCAAATGTAAATACATCCATGTAAGCACAGCTGCTTCGCGGCAGAAACACGAGTGGGTCAGATATTCCTACAAACGACTTTTGTACTAAACCTCCCTTTGGTAGAAATAGTACAATAGTAATATAACATCAACGAGGAAGAGTTGGTTTATTTGTAACGCACTAATCTCTGGAACTTACCGAATTTTAATCTTAGATTATATAGATAGAGCATCGAGCCACAAAAACGGGTCAACTTTTAGTTAAATTAGCTAACGAAGGGCGAAGCAATAAACTGAGTTGTGGCCATTTTGTATTGCTATGGCACACTCACAAACGAAAGTTGCATTTGGTTTTGTGTATTTTTTTTTTGTCATTTATGTTATTTCGCTTTTTTGTTTTTTGTGTACGTATGTTGTAATTTGTGTGCTGTAAGTAATGCAAATAAAATTATCTATCTATCTAACTCTTTTTGCAGTATTCTATGTCTGTTTCTTTTAGCAGTATTCTATGTATTTACGCATCAAATGTATCTTGACCTATTATTTAATAAATAAATTTAATGCGTAAATTAAAAAGATGCAGAATTTATAAGACAACATAAATATAGAATAATAAAACATAAATATAAAGGGATCACTCATAACTATTTATTAAGCAAAATTGTATGAAAAAGTTGATCCGTTTTTCTCGAAACATTTCTATGGTGACGCTCTATCTACATAATCTGTTATAGACTAGTCATATCAATCCCACATTGTCAATCGATTCCAAAAAGAAAGAGATAATCAATTCGGTTGTATTTTTTTATGTTTGTTACCTCATAACACCGTCAGTTAGACACCGATTTGAAAAATTCTCTTTATCTTATCTTTATCTCAAGCTTTTTTACTTACAGATTGGTCCTGCAGCAATTTTATTGAAATAAATTCAGTAACTTCCGTTTTTAAACCGAAATACCTGGTTGTATCACAATTGAAGTCTGATTTGTTTTGTTGGATCACAATTTATAATTTTAACTATTCTATAGCTCGAAGATCCATCAAGCAAGGTACTCGTAGCAAATAGAGGTAAACGACCTCTCTCCCATCTAACAGCTATAAATTCTTGGATTCCTTTTACGTAAGATAACGATGCCGCTGTCGTATGCCGTCTGTCGGCTGTCGATGCCATTAAGAATACTTCCCTATTAGCACGCTTGTCAGTGTATAAATACAAAGTTTTTTTTTTTTTTTTATACAACTTAGAATGACAAACAAGCTAACGGTCCACCTGATGAAAAGTGGTAACCGTCGCCTATAGACATGAGCAGTACCATGGACATAACAGAGTATACTGTTTCGCCCATGATACTCCTCATGCGTTGCCATTCCTGAGGACTCAGGTGTTATTCCTCTGTACCCAGTAAATTCACACCCACCCTTCAAACCGAAACACAGCCATACAAACACAGCTGCTTCACGGTTGAAACACGTTTGGGGACAGAGGTACCCAAGCAATCGACTTTTGTACAAAGTCTCCCTCTGGTATATAATATAATAAAAATAAAATAATATAATATAATAGTAATAAAATAATAATGATTTAATTTATTAAATAAAACAATTTATATATTTCCATGCGTTTATTTGTCGTATTATTTACACATGTAATTAGTTAAATGGATATGTATTCACATACTATTGTACTTAATTCGTTTAAAATTTATCAAAATTATTTTAAAACTTATCACTAATGATACAAGTTGTGTATTGATAAGTATTTAAAGAAAAAAAAATTGCAATATTAAAAAAAAGTCCTAATAAACATTTATTACTGCTTTGAAAAAAAAAATCTAAGGGAGAATGGATAATGAATATGGATCTAAATTCGAATGGTAATAATATTATATTCCAAATTTAAATTTTTTCAAGTAATAAAACTTTTTTTATGCAACTTAGAATGGCAAACAATCTGACAGTCCACCTGATGGAACGTGGTAACCGTCGCCTACAGACATGAGCAGTACCATGGACTTAACAGAGTATACTGTTTCGCTCATGATACCCCCCATGCGTTGCCATCCCTGAGGGTCATATAAAAAAATATCCATAAAAGGCCACAAATAGAGTTCAAACTTTTGTAGATCGACTACGTCTCGTCCAAGTCTCAGTCAATCTTTTTAAACTAACAAAATTATCGCTTCAAATAAAGAACAAAAAACTCATCCATTTTATTATAATTATTAGTACAAGTAAATATCATAATTCAATTACTATTTCAATAAATGCAAATTTTATGTATTTTATTTAATTTTAAAAAGAGATTTTCCATTTAATGTTTAACGATCCATTCATTATTACAACTATTGAATATTTACAATACGAGTACATTATAATTTTTTACATAGAAAATTCATATATAGTGAAATTGTTTCCAATATCATCCGTCATTGAGCACTTTAAATTTACAGCGACACGGCACGATATCCTAACATTTTATCCTCACAATGTAATGAGAGAGAAAAATGTATAAAGACGATGTCTAATAGTACATAGTAATATAATACGAGTTCAACGCGAATTTTATGAAGTTTTATTACATTTCCCTGGATTTCTAGATAAAGCCAAAACAATTATAGGAATTATAGTAAGGAATTTCGCGACTGACTCTTAGCCACAACAGAATATTAGTGTTTTGCTCTTTTAAAGCCAAAGCAGTAAACTGGGTTGTGACCATTTTGTGTTACTATGGCACACTTGTTGGTTTATATATTTAGTTTTGTTTTTTTTTTTTTTTTTGTTTTATTGTTTTTTTATTTTGATTCTTTCATCTCTTTTACTCTGTATTATGTGTATGTTTTTTTATTGTAATTTGTGTGCTGTAAGTAATGTAAATAAATTATCTGTCTATCTATCTATAGGAAACAACAAACATAGTAAATTCATAAAATGGCCGTTACACATATATGTACATGAACGTCATTAAAAATGAACATATATTTTAAAAATAATGATTTTAAAACGTGCATGCCTACGGTATCATTATACCGTGCATGTTTTAAACATTGTCGTGTAAAATCAAAACCATCTCCAAAAATTTCATTCATTTACTCTCTTAATATGATTAATAATAAACGCCACACAATCACATCAATTGCTCAAAGAAATCAGTTATAGAACATCTGGGGATACAACCTAGAATACACAGACTGGGAGGAAAAGGATTATTAGTAATGGAGATATAATTACTGCTAGTAATATACTCGTATCTTATCAGGTTGACCTTCACGCGGCTCCCTTGGAAACTTGGGTAATTCTTAGGGAATTTATCACGATAGGCTGACTGGGCTGCTTTCACCTTATTACCATTTACTTGTGTCTCGCCAGCTTATACCGATAGCCCTGGCTATACTATTCCATTTTTGCCCATTAAACAAGAACACCCAAACCCGAGTCATTTCAGTAATTTTCGTTCAACGATGTTCGTTAAAAATACCATCTCGATAAAATCGTACGATATCGTGCCGTGCCGTATTATAAAAACACCCAACGGGTATTCGACTTAGTGCGTTATTAGTGTATTTATTCATTACCTATTGTGTCCGATGTTTACGTAATTAAGTGTAGACATTCTGAGATAAAAATGAAATTATATAGAATATTCCTATAGCTACTTATTTATAGAAAAACTATCAGTCAAAATTAAGTATTGCAAATTATAAAAACAATTTTAATTATTCCTCTCCATCTTAAGGTTGCCTGGAAGAGATCGCTATTCAGCGATAAGGCCGCTTATTGTTGCCTCTTTATCTTGCTTTTATGTAATTAAGTTTACTTAATTATTTATTTTGTTTGTGTGCATATTGCTAATCTTTATAATCATTCTTTGTAGGGAACAATAAAGAGTTTTCATTCATTCATTCATTCATTACGTAACTTCAAAATTGTCGTAACCCCGTTTACATATATACGCCGCGAACCGCAGACGCGGTAACGAAGCGACGCCACAGAGGACTAACCTAAGTACCCTCTGGAGAAAAATAAATCAGAATCTGCCCTACACTATTGGAACGTATTGGGTATTTTGCGTCTCGCTCTATCTACCTTACATCATTTTTGTGGTTCGCGGCGTTCGTGTGCTGACGGTGTAAAATGGTAAGTTTTGCATTCCTTTTAGGGGCTTATTACACAGTTGTATATTATTATATAGGACCATATATTTTACAATATGTATATAGTACATTATACAGGGTAGAAACGAAAATTGATCTCACAATATCATTCCTAAATTATAGAAGATGGTTTACAACTTTATACTGATGTTGATAGTCCCTCAATAAATTCTCGTTGATCTAAATATGATGCTATATAATTTACAACGTAATATGCCCCTTAATATCAACCTTATTAAGTCTCATAGTTGTTTAATGTAATCTGATGTTTCCCCTTTTTTTTTAATAAGACAATTTGTTTATTCACTTTTAATTAAACGAAGATAAAATCAGGGTTCAAACAGCAGTCGCTTCTTTTGTCCGGGTTGTGGTCGGCTCGCACCCATTTCCCGTGACAGTGCGGCACGAGGAGTGCGTAGAAACGTGTTATGTGGCCCACGACTCCGTGGCCGGCGCAGCGCCACTTGAGATCGCGGCGGAGCGCATCCGCCTCGCATAACACACAAACCGTGCCGCCTGATGAAATGGAAACGTGATATATTAGAAAAAAGTTTAGCATTGCAATAAAAAAAGTTTTTAATAGAAAAAATACAACATTACAAAAAAGTTTATATTAGAAAAAAATACGGCATTGCAACAAAATAGTTTTTATAAAAAACAACGACGATACGAAAAAAAGTTTTTATTAAAAAAAATACGGCGTTTGCAACAAAAAAAAACTGTTTAATAGGAGACGTATCATAAAGTGAAAATACTAAAAAATACTATACAAATTGAGAAATGATTTCATCCTCACCTATAATCTCTTATTGGTAACACATCAACATTAACCATGCACAGTTGGGGTTACGATTTCATTTCATTCATTAAAATTATAACGACATTATAAAAGTAAAATATGGCAATGAAATTACTGCGTACAATGACTAAACTCGATGTGTTCACTTCGTGTATCACTCACTCATTGAATCTCACTCACTAACTCACATGTGTATCACTCACTCATTGAATCTCACTCACTAACTCACATGTGTATCACTCACTTATTTCACTTACAAATGTGTAACTCACATATTTGAGTGACAAATATACTGGTGTTTAATTCAATGAATGACATACCTTCACGTAAAGGTTTGTAGTCGGAATCGGTGTGACACGCTTTCGACACCTTCGTTACTTCAAACTTGACACAATATCTGTAAATACATCAATAGTTAATATTAGAACTACGGCATAAAAGAAGAGTGAGCCTAGATAGGTATAATGGCTGATAAGAGATCTGTAGAAGAGTAAGACATACTGCGTCCACCCTTAATAAATAAATATCCGTCACGCTTGTCTCCCGTTAGGGTAGACAGAAACAATGGAATGCCAAATGCTCCAATTCACACAGACCTTCTCACTTCTTCCACATTTATCAATCTGATGAGAATGAAAACGCTCTATCCATGCAAACACAACCATGAAGCAGTTGTGTTTGCATGACTATGATTCGGTTTAAAGAGTGGAATATGGCATGAATTTACAGGGTACAGAGGAATAACACCTGAGCCCTCAGGAATAACAACAGATGGGAGGTGTCATGGGCGAAACAGTGTGCTCTGTTGTGTCCATGGTACTACTCGTGTCTATGGGCAACCGTTGCCACTTTCCATTAGGTGGGCCGTTTGTTTTGCTATTCTTTAGTAGTTTTATAGTTGTATAAAAAAAAACACTCGCCAGTTATGGATATTTTTACATTTGTCTAGAGCGGACCCTACCAACATCTCCATTCATTCGTGCTCGATAAATTTCTTTCGTAATTCCTCTTTCATCCATCCTCTACAAACGGCCAAACCAACGCAACATTACCTTTTCGAGTATGATTTTATTTTAGGGTTATTTAACTCAGTAAAAATATTTTTTATTTAAATAGACTTGTTTATAAGCTCTTCCAAATAGTAAATTTTTTTAATGGACTGCTAGGTTCGGGATTTTGTTATTCGCTGAGAAAAAAATGCAAAAACTCAACAGTTTCTTTTTAATTAAATAATTATGTTCGAGATAATTCTACATTTGCTTGGGTACTATTTTTTTTTTTTGATGGGTGAAAATAGTATGGTATCCGCGCCTGCGCTAACGGGATACGCTAGCAGAGCACCAGTGAAGGGTCATAGATGAGAATGAAAACAGGCCAGTTAGCCCATCATGATGAATTTATCAGGAATTAACCATGATAGTTTCCAGGGAGAACCGCGAGGAGGTCGACCTAGTTGGGTATATTGCTAGCAATGGGATTCTCAGTCTCCATAACTAACAATCCCTTTCCTCCCAAGGGTACTATTATTAGCATTAATTTCCATTTACATGTCTTATTAAATGGAAAATAAACAAGCAAAAATTAACGGACCAGTCCTTACAAATAGCACCTGTTCACGAGTATGACGGATGAGCCACAACAACAGAACAACCCGTCCCATCACGCTGCCATGATCATTATATAGTACTCACTCTCTATGTGAATTGGACTCGGGATCGTCTGGATTCCGTAGTCTAAGATTCTTGCGGATGTCGACTGTCTCATTAAAGTGGCGGCTCACCGACAGTTCGCCTGGCAGGAGCATCGCCGTCTCATCTATCACACACGTAATGACACACATAAAACAAAACTTCGTCAAAATTCTAAACAACTTGGTACGAGAAAATTATAACCGACTTGGTGAAAAGTAACCGTCGCCTATAAACAAGACCAGAATCATGGATATATATATATATATATATATATATATATATATATATATATAATACCCTTAACTCGTATATATAGACAAAATAAAAAACAGGTACAGAGGTAAAAAACGACGTCACTATCATATCCCACGCTTTAAACCAAAATACTGAAAAAAAAACGTGTTTTGTCTCTTACCAATTTGCGTTAAAAAGGGAGGGAGTTTTAAATTCGACTTTATTTTTTAGGTTGTAGTACCATGCTGAATGTATTTCAAATTTATATAAAAATTCCCCATTCCAATTGTTTTTTGGCAATAAACTATTTTTATGACTTTGGGCCCGGTCACAGTACATTATCATAAAAATTGAGGGAATTACGACGATTATTGGAAAAACAGAAATAAATTTATTTATTACGTAATAAATTGTTAAAATATATTTTCGTAAGAAAATATATTTTCAAAACATACAATAATTCCCTTTTACTCAATTTTATAAAAAAAAATATGGCATTCAAAGAAAGAACAACTACCGTTACCTCTTAAAGGTACATCACTATCAGCAGAACAGCCATGGTGTTGCTGGCAGGCCCTCCTCTGGACGAGCGAGGGGCAGTGTCTCCCGCCGTGAGCTGGCGCCTGCACCACCCTCCGGTTCCTCACCATACTGCCGGAGCCACAGGATGTGTCGCAGTGAGACCACGGACCCCAGCCTGATACCACGCAGTCCATCACTGAGAACAAAGAAACATAAGTCCCTTTAAGTAAAGTTTTTAATTTAACTCGCCACTACAGAAGTGACGACCATATTGAATTTTGTGTGACGTCACTTAATTCATCGTTCTTTTATCTTCAAGCTCTTTCACTTGATATCTCAATATTGCAATATTTCAAAATGGCTGCCGACATAAAATGGCGGGTCATGTTTTTTTTAACAATTAACATTCAATATTGACCCATAAATATAAAAAAAAAATACATAGCCATCTTGTGATGGCAGCCATTTTGATAATATTACAATGTTGTGTTATAGAACTAATTGTATTATTATACTATACTATTATATTATTATACTATATTGTGTATTTCATCTCAATCGAATCATCATTTCTGCCATTATCAGTTCACTGCTGGACATAGCCTCCCCTATAGACTGCCATAAATAACCGTCCTGAGCTACCAGCATCCACTGACCCTGCAATGCGTTTCAGGTCGTCACTCCATCTAGTGGGGAGTCGTCCTACACTGCGTTTGCCCGTACGGGATCGCAACTCAAGCCACGTCACATCTCAATCGAATAACATACAAAAACTCTTACCAAACTTCTTTATATATGAAAATAAAGTAAATGTCCAATTTAATAGATTTAAATTATTCAAGTAAATTTTCTAACTTATAACTACAGATTTAAATTCAAACGTTAATTGCCAATTATAGGATCGAAATTATCCCGCAAGATTACTTGCTCAATCGAATTAAAACTATTTAAGTACTTATAACGAGACTCATTTAAGTTGGCAAATATCCAATCTTTATACAAATCAGTTGGGAATACTTAAAACCGGAAAATATTAAGCTCCGTTGAGGCAATTAGAAAGTTGACCTGCAGCTAGTCTATAATTGAAGGAACCAGATAAAACAGAATATATTGATTCATAATAATCTTCATCGATTATTTTTACTAATATCTGAGAATGGGGGGAGAGATTGTTAGTTACGCGTACTACCGGTCCCATTGCTAGCAATATACCCCGTCAGGTCGACCTCCACGTGGTCCTCCCTGGAAACCATCGTGTTCAATTCCAGATGTATTCATCACGATCAGCTAACTGACCTGCTCTTTCATTCTCACTTATCATCCCACACTAAGGCTCCGCTAGCGTAGGCAGGGTTACCATTCCATTATCATCCTTTTAAAAAAATCTGAAAACAAATTTTTAGATATGTATTTCTCGTTGAATGATAACTACTGTGAATCATACTGTATTGTAGTATATATATATTCTTTATTGCACTTGTAAATTACACTGTTAATGCATTTATAAATATTGTGAGCAAGGGTGGACTTATCTATGATAGAGATCTCTTCCAGTCAACCCAATACAGTTAGAAGCAGTTAAGAGCATGTCCTCAGCGGGCAGCTGAAGTGCTACAACTATTAATATTTAGAATACACTAACAAATACAGTAAACAAATATTAAAATAACAATTAAAATTAAAAATACAGTTAAACAAAATATTAAAATATATAATTACATATTACATAAATACTTATATATATATATACAATATCAAACACATATTTAGATATGTGTTGATAGAGTTTGGTTAGTCAAACTCTACAAATGTGCAAAAGTTTATAAATATTTCGCGGTTTACGTCCTTTGATGTAGGTACGGCAACAAACCAATGCAGAAGTTGAATATTCGAATTAAAATAAAAATACTAGCTGTTGCCCGCGGCTTTGCGCATGTAGGTAGTGCTGTGGTCCCATTTTAAATTGAAGTCTTCTAAATTCCTTTTTTAACTGATACTTACGTTTTTTTTTTTTTGATGAGTGAAAATGGTATGGTAACCCCGGCTGCGCTAACGGTATACGCTGGCGGAGCACCAGTGAAGGGTGATAGATGAGAAAGAAAACAGGTCAGTTAGCCCATCATGATGAATTCACCAGGAATTAACCATGATAGTTTCCAGGGGGTATATTGCTAGCAATGGGATTCTCAGTCTCCATTACTAACAATCCCTTTCCCCCCCCTGATACTTACGTTGTAAAATATAATATAAATCTAATATAATATAATATAATATAATATAATTCAGCTTTTTAGACTCAATATTTTTAACTGTATGTTGATAGTCAGTTAGGACAAACGGTTTCATAAGTACCTATAGTTTTCTTTTATAAACACTAGTTTTTACACGCGACTTGGTCCATTAGCATCCATCAAAAAAATACAGTAATTGGTCAATCCGTTAAAGCGCTATAAAGTAACAAACTTACTTTCATATTAATACTTTGCAAAATTCTTGCACACTGTTGTCATATTTGGACGGCTATTGGCTGAACAGTTAAGTACCTACCAACATTGTAAAGAAAAGAGGCATAAAATTAGACATAAAATTTTTACCTGTAGCGGGCACCTGGACACTGTATATATCTTAATTATACAGCACTATCATACCTACTTGTACAACAGTTAGTACATTACCATTAAGGTTGTCTTGAAAAGATTGCTCTCAGCAATAAGACCGCCTTACTGTACTTATACAATTGTAGCGTTATATTTATTAATTGTCTTGTTCATTTCCTATATTGTATAATGCAAATAAAGTATACTCATTCATTCATTCGTATCCCGGTCACGCGAAGTCGCGGGTAAAAGCTAGGATTATATAAAATCCAATATCGATCTATTGGAATTTATTTCAAGAGTTTGGAATGTGGAATGCCAATATGTCTGATATTGTATGTTACAAAATGAAAGAATGTATATACGCTATCAATTCGACTACCACGCAGTCCCTGCAAAAAATCCCGTATTCTGTCAGGTCGACCTTTAAGCGGTCCCTTCTGGAAATCATGGTTAACTCCTAATGAAGAAAGAAAGAAGAAAGTAATATGTTTATTCAAATGAAGTAACTAAATTTAAATATTTTTGAATAGATATTCTTTTCTTCCAAAATATTTAAATTTAGTTTAGTTATTTTACCGCCCATTCGGATTGCCATCACGTCTAAGAAGGGCAAGCTAAAAACTCAGGTGTTGCTTTTTCAAATACTTGAGTTTTGTAAATTCATCACGATGGACCTCCTGGTCTGGTTAAATCCTTATCTGTCATCACTCACTGGTACCCCGACAGTGTACGAGTGAGTATACTCAAGCGGGGTATTATTACACTCTAATATTCAACCGACTACAAAAAAAGGTATGCAATTTGGTTGTATTTTATTATGTTTATTACTTCATAACTCCATCAGTTGGTTGGGTACCTCTGTCCCATTCATGTTTCTACCGTGAAGTCTGTTTCGATTTGAAGGGTGGGATATGGCGTGAATTTACAGGGTACAGAGGAATAACACCTGAGTGCTCAGGAATGGCAACACATAGGGGGTATTATGGGCGGAACAGTATACTCTATTGTGTCCATGGTACTGCTCATGTCTATTAGCGACGGTTACCACTTTCCATCACGTGGGCCGTCAGCTTGTTTGCCATTCTAAATTGTATAAATAAATAAAAAAAAAGTTAGAAACTGACTTAAAACTACTTACAGATTAGTCCAAAATAAATTTCATTAAAATCAATTCAATAGTAGCAGTTCTGAAATCAAAATAACGGGTTTTGTTACAATTGTATTTATTAATTAATATTTTTATACTTTTTTAATTTTTAAATTTACATGCCTAATTATAGCGAAATATGAGGACTTATACCTATTGCTAACATGTATATACTTACCATGTTTCTTGTAAATAAATAAATTGAAGTCAATTTTACTTGTGAAACCTATTAAAAAAAAAAACATCAAGATGTGTTTTTTTTTTTAAACAAAACCTGAAAATACAGCGATAATTTATTCAGAAAGATCATAACAACCGCGAACATCGATAGTAAAACCAGTTAATGGACTATAAAGGGGGTTTAAGGGGCGATTTGTCATGTGCGAACACGCCATTAAGATGGTGTATCGTAAAATTATAGAGAGTACCGACACGAACATGTTTTTCGTACTTTAAGAGAGATTCTTCATGATGTCAGCTGTGTAGAGGCTAGTACATCTTCCAGAATTTCTCTCTGTCATACTGAAGAAATTGCGGGCTCAATTGGTGTTCGAGAAATAGAAGTTTTTTTTTTATTTTATTTTTTATACAACTTAGAATGGCAAACATGCTGACGGTCCTGATGGAAAGTGGTAACCGTCGCCTATAGACATGAGCAGTACCATGGACATAACAGAGTATACTGTTTCACCCATGATACTCCCCATGCGTTGCTATTCCTGAGGACTCAGGTGTTTTTCCTCTGTACCTTGTAAATTCACGCCATATCCCACCCTCCAAACTGAAACACAGCCACGCTTGTTAGTTGTGTTCAGCTGCTTCACGGTTGAAACACGAATGGGACAGAGATACCCAAGCAAACGACTTTTGTACAAAGTCTCCCTCTGGTAAAACTTGGTCTCCCCTGAATACTATCGTGCTGAATCCCTGGTGTATTCATCACGATAGGCTAACATACCTGTCTTTTCATCACATCTATCATCCTTCATTGGAGTTCCACCAGCGTATAACGTTAGCGCGAGCGGATTTGCCATTCCATTGTTATCCATTAAAAAAAAATAAAAGGTCTCGATTGCCAACTCACCACTCAATAAATGGGCAAAAGAATTATTGATAATAATGAAACCATCTGTGAAAGATATTTTTGCATAGCAACCGCAGCGCTAAAACGGTTTCCAACTCACTGGGTGAAAACATTGTCACCCTGAGTTATTGCTGTAAAAATATTATTATAGGGTAGGGGCAGATAATATGTAGCAATATGTATATATTGTGAACTATATATCTATCTTAGATTATATAAATAGAGTATCTCCATACAAATGCTTCGAGAAAAACGGGTCAACTTTGTCATACAAATTCGTGTGAAATTACGTTATTCCCCTGAAAACTATCCTAATTAGATTTTGATCATCACGATGGACCAACAGGTCTGCTTTATCCTCACCT